AAATAATTAGAATCGGTCGTTTCACAAAATATTATACTAGCTTATAGTAGCTCTGCAATTCTATTGCCATACTAAAAATAATTATATAGTATTAATATAGTATTATATAGTATTAATAATAATCAATAAATAAGAGAATTATTTGTAATACTTTTGAGTCTTAAATTTTTAGTTTTTAACTAAAAGTATTAACGCTTTTCTTATAAGCTTTTCTTCTTTATTAAATATGCAGTTTAGACATGTCAATTGACATAATAACATTCAAGATAAATTGCACGAGTATAAGACAATACATATTAACTGCATTGAATTAATATCATAAGCCAAATGTATTAACCCATAGTTTATTCTTCTTATTCACATTCAATATGTTTATACAGAGGTTTGTTAAAGAAATTTTCAAACCTGACGGCACTTTTATTCGTCGATATCTTTGCTATTCTCAACTACACGCACTTAAGTAAGGAAATAAAACATTAATAATGTTTTAATCTATTCGCTTAAGTTCTATACGAGTTAAATCACTTATAAATTTTTTATGTTTCAATGAAATACAATTTAAAAAAACAATCGCCAATAATACACAAATGCAAGTAAAATGGGTTTTTTAGTTTAAGCAGTGACAACGACAGTTGAAGAATTAAAGGATTATTTATTTTTTCTTGCTCAATTTTGAAAGTAAATTTTTAGTTCTTAATTGATGAAATTGTATTATAGATATATTTTTTTTAATTAATATTTCAGTGAAATGACTTTACAAAGTAAACTTTTTCATTTGTTTCATGTAAGCAGTAAGTGCTCAATTTAGCTCAAACAAAACGTAAGAACTAGAAAATACAATGAATAACAATAATAAATAAATATTAAAAACGGTTCCCCAAATATAATAGAAGTGCTGTTAGCATATATGGAATCGAGAGAGAAAATTAGATTACAGTTTGATTATAGTGACTTGAATATCCGTAAAAAAAAAGTAATTTTAGAATTTAGGCATAAGCAAAAAGTATCAAAATAGTAGTAAAAGTATAAAATTGAAAAATTTGAAACTTAACTGTCTGCATAACATGCATTGATGCTATTGATCAAAGAGAGCGTAAAACTGAGAGTGGTCATTCATTAACATGAACTTAAACTAAATTTATTCCTTTTGATTTCTTATACTTACAAATAAATTTGAGATCTTTTCTAAAGAAGAGGAGTATTTATGTCATATTAAAATAAATTTACAAAATGTACTAAGAGAAAAACGGGTTTATTTCTTAGTAGAATATTGTAGAGACACACAACAAATATGTTATTGTCAATTTAGATTTTAAGCAAAATTCTATAATGTTTGTTAGTCCTGTACGAATTTCCTTGAATCAATAATATGAAATAATAATAGTAAAGAGACATATAAAAGTTTTTTTAATAAATCGCACCTACTTCAAATTAAGGCAGGTAGTCCCAGTGATGTATTGATGCTTTATGCCTCACTCATTTAAAAAATAATAGATTATTATTACTTAAACCACAAATTGCTCTTAAACGATATAGTCTTGTCGACACTTATTTTCGAAGCCATGACGCCTTTCTTTAGTAGGACGGCTTACTAACTATTAAGCTATCAAGATATCTTAAACCGAGCTACCACCTCCGTCTTACTTTAATCTAGCCCAAAAAGAAAAGACTAACTTGTGATTTTCTGATGTAATAGGCCATGAAGAACTTTACAACGAAACTTCTTCTAGCCTAAAATAGAATGGTTGAGTGTCCCCTGTTAGGGTATGTCATAGTGTTCTACATCATTGAGTGTTGTTTTCCCTCTTATTATTTTATTCCATTCGATTGTATGTATTTTATTATACTTATAAAATACAAATTTATATTTATACTAGTAATTATTAATATGGTATTATTAATAACATATATAATTTTATATTACATGTTATTACCTTATTGATATATATAAAAAAATAATGTAAAACAAATTGCACTGTGGCATTATTTTGTTCAGATTTTTTTTTTATTATTTTTATAGCTTATTCAAATATACATAAATTTTCTTTTGTATATACAAAACCGATTAATCATTGCTATTTACTTGCAAATTTACGTAGTACTTAAAGATATGTTCATATCATGAATTAATTTCGCGTCGGTTGCATTTATTAATGAACAACTTGACTAATTCGTAAGTGGCGAAAAATTTGTTAATTGATTTTCGATAATTTTATTTATTTTTATTTCCTACAAACTCATATATTTCACTTTTAAAATTTAATAAATATAACTTTACTGACTTCAATTGCCCAACTACTTGACCAAATAATTTGTGGTTTCAATGCAAATATGGGTAAGTCTCTAGTTCTGATAAGTTCGGGGACTTACTTTTATTTTTTATTATACGAGTATTTTGCATTATCTGAGCGCGTGGGAATTTAAGGAATTTAAAATTATATATGTATAAATATACTATATATATTATATGGAAAAAGGTATCAGTTGCAATTTTTTTTATTTAATGAAGATTTTGACGTATATTTCCTTTATCTTGATGAGTTAATAACTTGTTTATAATTTTTATCAATAAATTTTTAAATATTCTTAATTTGATTTAAACTTTTTCATTTATATTTATTACAAAATTTAAAAAAATTAATTTCGTAGCTTTTTTAAAAATGATATTTTTCGTTTATATGTTATACTAATAAAAAAGAAATAAAGATATCGAAATGGTTTTACTTTTACTTTGATAAACTTAAGTTCATTCATTCCACAATAATATTGGCAATAACTGACTTTGAAAGACTCTTTTTTAAGAAATCTTTAGAAATAATATAAGATCAGCTATAACTTCTTTTAATGACATCAATTTTTCTTATACTTCAAATTAATAATTTATAACCTGAGAAAAGTTATTGATATTAGAATACAATATGGAAGAGAAAGTTATAGAAGAAAGAAAAAGAAGATAAATTAAGATAGATGATAAATTTAAGAGGAAGACAAATTTAAAGAATTTTGGACTTCTAGCTATAGAATTAGAATTATATTTCTAGTATATGGAATATTTCTAATTATATTGAAATTAAAAACCCTATTTTCAATATTTTTATTTAATATATGTTTACTTATACATTATTTATTTGATTTAATTTCCTTTAAAATTATATTATTTTAAATATAATATTTTATATTCTACAGAACTTACCTACGTTATTTACTTTTTAAATGCCTAGACTTTTTAAACTGTACGGTGTAATCATTATCAAAAACGTACTAATTTTAAAATATGACCCTTGATTTAATTACTTTCGGTGTTTATTGATAGTTTCGATAACATTATTCATATTGAATATGAATGGCTAATATCGCTTTTTAATTAATATCTGTCTTCACAAAACTGATTATGTATATTTTGTTTTTTTTATTTTTGCTTGATATTCAGGCAAAATAATGTGCTTATTTAACAAAAAAGGTTTAACTAAAAGATTGTTGAGTTTTTTAATATAATTATTAGAACACAATACTAAAAAATAGATGACTTGATTTTAACATTGAGATTCAAAACTGATGTTTGGCCCACTCTCTTTATTGTAGTGTCGCACGCCATTCAAAGCTGTGTTCTTTTTAACTTCCCTATTGATTTTAATAGCATCTTTATTTATAAGTACACAAATAGTCCAGTAACCATGCATATATTATTCTCTTGTGTTTATTTTAACTATCGACTTTAAAGACAAAACACTTTTTTTCTTATCTACGCACATAACATAGTCCAGTAGCTTTTAATGTATTCTCTTCTACTCGTTTTAACTTCCCTATCGACTTTAAAGTCATTTTTTTTTATATTTACACAAATAGTCCAGTAGCCAGGTTTCCTAAAGAAGAGATACAGTTCACGGCAGCTTTGTACGAACCACAATCTTTTAGAGTTTTGCTGTACTGCTAGAATTACTATAAATAAAGGAATGGATGAATTCACAAGCAATGATTTAACCATACAGTTTTGTTGGCCAAGCATTATTGTGAAATAACCTGATCTACAACTACTCGTATAACTCTTATTAACAACTTCTTTCATTTACCTGTCTAAGTGCAACAGAGCTAAATAACAGACACAACTGAGGCTTACTTTACCATGTTTATAAGACAAGACTGTTAAATATAACAGAATATCTCCTTTGCATAGAAGACAATATGTATTTTTGCCATCTCAGGTGTAACTATGCTGCTTTATACTGGATTAGGATGGAATTCTACGGCAATAATTTAAAAGTTCTGCGAATATATGACAAGAACTTAAAAGTTCTAGGGTTCTATGACAAGAACTTAAAAGTTCTAGGGTTCTATGACAAGAATTCATAAAAGTTCTGAGACTCTCTGACAAGAACTCATAAGTTGTGAGATTCTATGACAAGAACTCATAAGAGTTATGGGATTCTATAAAAGAACTCATTAAAGTTGTGAGTTTTCATAACAAGAATTCATAAAAGTTCTAGGATTCTATGACAAGAATTCATAAAAGTACGGGTTTCTATAACAAAAACTCAAAAAAATTCTAGAAGTTTAAATCAAAGGATGTTGTAGAATTGAATAATAAACTTAAACTCTGTCTTGGAAGCTTTCGGAACACATACAATAGATTCTTGGATCATCATCACTATGATCCATTCATCATCGTTTTCTTCCTTGCATAGTCCGAGTTGTGCCGCATAATAAAATAATTTTAGGTATCATAATATTTTCCCTTTTCTTCACTGATCATAGATGCTGCATAGAATCACTTTTATAAAGAAAAACAAAAAACAATTAAGGTTAAACTAAAACTTGTTACTTAGATAGATGACTCTACATTAGTTTACTTTTTTCTTTCTCTTTAAAGTAACGACGTACTGTTTGAATTTAAAATTTATAAAGTTTAAAATAAAAATATTTTTAATGTTTAAATTTCATCAAAACTTGTTCCATTGCGAAAACATTAACTTTCATTTATTTTTTTCCATTTTATATTTCAGTCACATCAAATACGAGCAGTTTCTAGTCCCTGCTTAACTGATGCTGCATTAGAGCAACCCATAAATTATGCGCCAAAAAGTTCAAACCACCTAACCGTACCAACAGCTTCCTATTCTGCGACAACTTCTACATCTTCATCGGCATGTGATGATTTGGCATTGCAAATAAACGGCACCGGCAACGATGCAATTCAACGTATGCCCACAAGCCAAAGTGTTGGGGTGCTCCAAAAATTTAAAAGAACTTTAACAAATTTCAACAAAAGCCAACCACAGCAACTCCCACAACAGGCGCGCCCAACAAAAATCAGCACAACAACGGCAGCAACAACAACTAGCACACAAATTCCTGAGGCTGCTCTTCCGAATGGGCAACCGACGCTTACCACTGAGCTACCAAACAGTGACATTGTTGATGGCACAGCAGGCAAGTATCGTTTCGGTCCGCTTATTTGGCGTTCGTCGAAGGAGCGACGTAAAACAAAGTACAATAGACGCGACAAATGCAACAGCGGCGATTCCGGCATACAAATAGAGTTGGAGAACGATGAGCAGTTCGCGCGTGCAATAGCAGCTGCGGGTGGTGGCTGTTCAAGAAATAATAAAATAAATGGAATAGAGGTAAGTTATATATACCTGTTAATGATAATTGGATTGTTCATCATGACCACCTAGAAGTGGTTTTATAATATTTTTATTAAACAGAAAATTTACAATACTTAAATTTATGATTTTATGAAACTTTATTAAGAGCAAATTATTATTTTTATTCCTATAAAGGATTCACCAAAGCTACGTGCACTGCGTAGAGCGAATTCCGCTAAAGCTACCAGTATGACGGATCAAACTTCTGCTGCGTTAAATGCCAAAGCTAAAATACTAAAAAAGATGGAAATCTATAATGAACGTGAAGCTCCTGCGTCCTTGCCCACACGTTCCATAAGCCAACCAAATGGCTTGGAAACCTTTGGTATTAACAGAGCAGGTGAGTTAAAAATTGCGATTTTTTTTAATGGATTTTTTTCAGAATAGTTTTTTTCTTTTCAGACTTAGATGAGAGCGACAGTGATAGTGTAGCCTCACATGATGATGGTAAGTGGTTCCGTTTGCCAATTATAAATTCATTTTATGCTCTGCTGCACAATGTGCACTTAATGGCATTGTAAAGTGGCAAATGCGCTGCCAAATCCATTTATGAGTTAAATGTGTTGCAGAGTTCAAAATAATTAAACTTAATTGCTTGCAATCTTCAATGTAGCCATTCACTTTTTGCATTTGAACTTGTCTTCTTAGCTGGTGTCTAATGATTGTTTGTTGTTTTTTTTTTTTTTCATTTTACAGGTCCCCACAATTATCCCATTTATGCTGAAGTACTGTACAGTTTCACTGCCACTGGACCACAAGAACTTGGTCTCGAGCGTGGTACACTCATTGAAGTATTACGCAAGGAAGTTGGTCCCTGGTGGTTTGGCAGATTCAAAAAGGACGATGGTAGACTTGTTGATGAGATTTTAGATATTGAGTTGGGTTGGTTTCCAAAGGAGTTTGTACGCATCATACAATACCCTGACACAGATGCTTTCTTTATGCAACATTTGGCGCAAATCCAGCAAAGCGCCATTTTACCAACATCTGCTACAAGACTAACAACAAGAATGCCAATGCCCACTTCAGTGCCTGCAACCAAATCACATAGCGCAGAAATCATTGCTGATAGCGCAAACAACGTTGATATGAATAACATAACCACAATCGTCATCGAATCTCCTCCATACACGGCAACTGCAAATGTGAATGTGAATGGAGGAGAATGCAATGCACTAGCGCCGTCACGTAGTTTAAATGTCATTATGGATGGCGGTGATATCTTGCGACGCAGTGCTGTTAAAGAACTTTTGGACACAGAAGCAAACTATGTGAAACTTTTGGCTTCTATATGCGAGGGGTAAGTATTATTTTACTCCAATAAAAGTGTATAAAATTAAAATTTTTCTCTTTTAATCGATTTCAGTTACTTACCGGCTATGAGCAAACGTATTGATATTTTTTCGCCTAACAGCATTCGACTGATATTTTCGAATATAACTGCAATTTACAAATTCCAAAGAAGATTTCTGGAGGCTCTACGTAAGGGAATCGAACAGAATCAAGTCGCCAAAGTGTTTCTAAAAATGGTAATTGTAAAAATTTTAAAGGTTTCATAAAATATAATTAAATGGTATATTTTTATCTACAGCACAAAGGGTTTCTTTGTTACTCAACCTATTGTAATGCATATCCCCGTGCTCTTATTGAATTGGAAACCTATGATCGTGTTAAAGATGCGAGGATTATATTAGACAAGTATGATAATGTTTACGTGATATGAATTAGGAATTTATTATAATTATTTATAATATATAAAAAATGTATATCTGTATGTAACCTATATATATTTATATATTATATATTATATTTTTTTCGGAATTGCAATCGAGGACCTTAGTCAATATATCTTATAAATATATATCTTAAATATATATTACATCTTATACATATATATATTATCTTATATATTTATATTATCTTATATATATATATTATCTTATATATATATTATATCTTATCTATCTTACAAATATATATCAATCAAACTGCCATAACTCGGATTACTATTTTGAAAAGGAAAGGTGCGACTTATGAAGTCTTCGAGTTAAAGAATTTTTTTGTAGTTGTATGTAATTTGCTCTCTAAACTCTGTTGCACTCTATATAATTTGAGTTAGAAGCAGTTCGAGTTATGGAAAGTTTGACTGTATATTATATCTTATAAGAAATATGAAAAGGTTATATATGTCTATATATGTTAATATTATATATGGGAACCAAAAAGGGATTTTTTGTATTATGAGTATAAACAATTCTAAACAGCTGTCCCTGAGCTGGACATTTCAGACATTTACATTAACATTAACATTAACTGTAAGGTTCGCAATATGTGCCCCCAAAACTTTTTATCATTTGAGTACAATTTTTGTAGTTCATAGTGACTGGGAAGTTTTGGCTCATGAAGCAATGGATTTAATCCGCGAAAATTTTTAAGTACTTCTTATGTAGATTCGAAAAGCAAGAGTTTTGATGTGGATGTTGATATTACTTGTGTACTCCCTTTTGAGAGTGTTGATATGTTCTCCATATTGATATAGATAAACTTACTACCATATTTAAATAAAAAATACCATCATTTATAACTGTGAAATGCTGCTATGATAAACTATTCCAAGAAATGAGGAAACAAATAATTCTTTAATGTCGAGTCGGACGTCGAAATGGACGAGTCTACATTCCGAAACCACTCTTTCACCATGCCGACCAAGTGCCGTTGACTACCTGACAACACTTGGTTTGGTGTTTGTATTGACAATAATTTTTCAACAAGATAACATGTTTTCTTAACAATGATTGCTTCTTGTTCCTGTACTTCAAAAAAGAGCAACACTTTTCATTAAAAGAAATAACCATTAATGCTTTAGAAACCACGTTTTAAAAATATTTTAAGCGGAAAGGGAAAAATACTATGACAAACGGTCATAACAAGTGTCGTAGTTGGATGGGTGAGACTGAAACGAACAGATGCCCTCCCTGATAATATCATCTACCGATAATACACTGTTCGAAAACTGCCAAGCAATTTTCTAGCATATCTCTTCCTTGTTACAATCTTTGCTAGCCACTAGTTAATGTACTTATTCAAGTTTAAATTATTAGATTATATTTTGTTCCTTTGTGAAAACAAGAAAATTACTTACTGTTATAGAATTTAATTGAATATAAATTTTTTTACTGCTATTAATATGTTTTTTTTTTTATACATATTATTTATATTCCAAATTTTCTTACAGCTGTCGAGAATCGGAAAACCTTGCTGAATTACCGCTTTCCGCACATCTACTGGCACCTGTTCAACGCATATGTCGTTACCCCTTGCATTTAGCGGAAATTTTGAAAACAGCAACAAAACATACAACTGAAGCAAGGACATATGATCTAGGTAAATTAGAGCAATTAGATGCTAGTCAATTGGATATACACGATACAAAAGAAACTATAGATATGGCATTGGAAGCTATGAAAAGCATAACAGAAGCTGTTAATGAAGGTAAATACTTTATCTTTTAAAATATTAAAAACTTATTCATTAAATAATTATCTCCTTTAGGCAAACGACATAGTGAAACCATTGCGCGACATCAAGCCAGTTTTCAAAATTTTAAAGGTCCTCCACTACATTTGCATAGCACACGTTTCTTTTTACAAATCGATGCTACACGCCAAAAACAGAATCTCTGGAACAGCAGTTGTACGCTCTTTCTATTCGACAACCAATTGGTTTATTGTAAACGCGATCTAATAAAACGTAGTCAATTCATCTACAAGGGACGCATATTTCTTGATCGCTGTCGTGTAGTGAATGTACGTGATGGCAAAATGTTTGGTCACACCATTAAAAACTCATTGCGCATCTACTGTGAGTCACTCGATAAATGGTACGATTTTAGTTTTCGTTCAGCTAATCGTAAACATCGTTTCCTTAATACGCTGGCACTGGAACGGCAATTTGGTGGTAAAGCTCTGTATGTCTCTGAAATGACAGGCTTTGAATATAATTACGAAGAGCGTGACTATTCTGATCAATCAGATTATGAAATGCCAGAAAGCGAGAGTGGTTTACCTAGCATACGTGTACGTGAATATATTTACGATGTGAATACAATTGGCACTACATCAGCGACAAGTGGCGAAAGCTCAGTACCCGAATCGCCAGCAAAATCCGCACCAAAATTCAGCAGTGATACTTTACCTAAAAAGTCAACACAGCAACGTGATAGTAATGCAAGCAATGAATATCAGACCGGTTCATTAGGACGCAGACGTTTGGGTAATTGGTTTCGTAAGCCAAAAAGTAGCAATAGCACACCAAATCATTCTCCCACTCATAAGCCAGCCGTAACGCTGTCACAATCTGCTGAATTGCATACAGCAACAACAGATACAAGTGAGCTAAATCTTGTACTAGCAGCTGAACATAATACAGACTTGTCTAGTGGCTCAACTGTTTAAATCTTAAGAAATACTTAATTGTTCTGTAGTTATGGGGTATTAAAAGTAATTTAATATTATAAAATTTTTAAAAAAGTTGTTGTTTATTAGGCATTATAGGTGTATGAATCTCTTTCCTTTTATATATATATATATACATTTATATAAAGTAAATAGTAGTACTGCTCTATGTGCTGAAGTCACTTTACTACTGCTTCCCCACTGTTTAAGGTGTCAATTAAGTGTTTTTTATATAAGTATATTTTACTTACTTATTAAAAGTCTCGATCTGAAAGGATATTTAAGTGTCATTAGTCAAAAAAAAGTCATATCTTATTATGTGTATACAATATTTAAACGAAGTTATAAACTGTAAACGAATAAAAACGAAATTATTAATTTTATATTTTAGTTGAGAAGCAAAAAACAAAAAAAAAACCTTTTAAGTGTTGACATTTTATTTTGTACATTTTTTTTCTTTATTAAATATTTCGAAAAAATAATTGAATATTGTTTGTTTTTAATATTCGTATATGTACTTCTATTAAATATATACTAAACAAATATTTATGTTTTATATACAATATTACTTATTGTGTACAAATAGTCTAAATATATATATATATCTATATACCCATCTTATACACATCTTGCTAAACCTGTATGTGGTATATTTTAATATTTGTTTATTTTTCTTTTAATACTTCTTAATTTATTTGCACATATTCTTAATTTTTGTATATATTTAATTTATAAAATAAAAATGATTTTCTTTATTTATAAAATATAAAGTATGCACACAGATAAAAACGCAAACTTAATATAGACATAAAAAAATTAAACTACTATTAACATATATAAAATTCAACACAATATATAATAACAATTCGAACTATGAATCTATTTTGTATAAAAAATAACATTATATTAAATATTTTATTTATTAAATATTTAAATGATTATCCAAAATAACCTAATGTTTTTTATTTTTTGTTGGTTATATTTTATAAATTCGAAATGCATAAAAGAATCCCCTAAAATTCTTCATATATAAGCGATAAAATAAAACAGAGTTGGTTGCAAAATATATGTATAAAATATAAATAAATAAATAGCATAAATTGCACAGTTTAACAAATTAACTACACTTAATAAAACACATATATAATATATATAAAGTATATATTTAATATATTTTAAAATATATATTTAATATATTATAAAATATGTATGTATTTTATATATATAATTTATTATAAAATATATATGTGTATATATATATTATATTATATTGTGAAATTATATATATAATATACATATATATTTGGTTTATTTATATAAAGCGCAACACGGCAAACTACCCACAGTATTGACAAAATGTTATATATTAACATATATTAAATTAATCTGAAATGAATTGAAACATTTTATTAAATTTATACAGTTTTATGTAAAACTTTATATATATTGCCAAATTAAAACAAAAAAAAAATAGAAAATACTATGTTTATATTTTGCCAAACGGATATTAAACATACTTTATATACACTTTCAAGTTGCAACTAAATAGTTACACTCTATAGAGGAAAAATAGTTTTTAAAAATAAAAAAAAATCAGAGAATAATATTTGCATAATTTTAGATAAACATTTAACAATAATGAAGTGAATAATAATACATATATAGCATAAGAACACATACATATATATAAACTAGAAGACGGGATTTATGGTGTACTTAAAAGTGTAGAGAATAGTTAAGAGAATAATGACTCCCTAGGAGCTCTTGAAAGATATGGATCAAGAATAAATTGTTCTAAAAATTTAGTACAGTAAAGTATGAATAAGATACTTTGACAAGACTTTAATCAAGTCCGTGGCAAAATGCTTCACGGGTATGGAAATTTCAGATAAAATCCTGACGCGACTAAACTTTACTATTCAGTTATATAATGATGCATTAACACTGAATAGACATATGTATCAATTTAACGGTTTGGTTCGTTTAAGGTGATATACTTCAGCCCGCCAAATCCTCACATTGGTTACATCGTGACTTCAATGTTTTTAATAGAATACTATGTTAACACTTACCGATACTTATTAAATGTGTGAATTTTGTATGAAAAAATGGCATATTATGTCACACTCAATAACATTTTGCAGTTAGTTTTTCCTACGTACAGATATGTGAGTACTATTGTTTTAGGTCCAAGACAAATGCTAAGATTGATGCAAGATTTAATAAGAGAGTAGGAAGAGTAATAAGAGAAGGATTTCATATATATGCAAAGTATATATGCATCACAGTTGATCAATGGAGTCATATAAATGCGATTGATCTCCATTAAAAATATTGTCAGTACGGTTCTACACAAACAGAGTGCAATTATACAAAACATACAATTATTTTAACATTTTGTGTAAATGTTGATTACACTCCTTTTTTATATTATTTCTGAGATATATTTTTCGCCACATATATATTATAAGTCATAATACAAAAAATCGTTATGGTCTTCATAGAATTTTTAATATTTTAATATTTATTAAGACATTTCTTGCCAACTATTTTGTAAAACTATTTGTGTGCTTTCTTCGTATATTGGTGCTGTTAGCTGTCTCTATTTCCTTTATCTTTTTTTGAAACTCTTCTGTACCATTTGGGACCTACTTTGTAATTTATATAAATTCAAATTAGTAGGACAATGCAAGTTTTCAATGTATTATTATTTTTCTACACACAGTTATCAAAACAGTTTAACTCATCTTTTTATAGAATTCATATCAGAATGTTTTTATAGCTGCACCTGACTTAAGTTAACTGCAATACTGTAAACGTACAATATAACTTAACCCTCAAGTTCTCAAATTTTGTTTCTTATTTATAAAAATTCCTAAAATTATTTCTAAAGTAAATAAGCAATATATATTCAAGAAAAAAGTTTGTGAGTAAACATCAACAATCCGGCATCAAATACTATATTTAAAATTTGAAGATTTCGCAGAATATCAAGTTACTAATAGCTGTTTAATTGTAGGCTACCTTAAGACATTATTGGAAACTATAGGGTTAAACTATAGGGTAAATGATGTTAAATATATAGTAAATATACTAGAAATTTATTATATAAGAAGTTTTGAATTTGTGTAAAACGGACCTACAGTAATGTATAAACACCAAGCAATATCTTCAAAAAAAAAATGATACCCGAACTATCCCAACTAATGAAGAAGTCGACTCTTAATGTTATATTAAGTACACTGCATAGATCCTGTCAATCGACATTATTTCATTAAACACTATTATATGTGACGATGTTTTGTAAATAATCTCCAAATAAAAGTATTTATTTTAAATAATTTATTGATAAAAAATAGACAAGTTTGCTAAGATTCAGTCCTTTAGCAGACTAATAAATTATAAACTTGTAATACACAAAACATCGCCATTAACATACATTCATACTTACATATATTAAAAATTTATAGTAAGCAAATACTTTATATGTTTGAGCATACCTGCAGCTACAATTATAGTTCGATGTTCCATAAATACTGAATGTAGCGTGCCCAACATAATATAATGAAGCAATTCCATTTCATGAATTACTAACACAATTGATTGTTTTGTCAATTCAATTAAAAGTTAAAGTTATACGTTAAATCAAATTGAGATAAGCTAAATTTAATTTATTAGTTAATAAATTGAAAAAAAAACTTAAATTAACTATATTTAACCATTTGACTTAAAATAAAATAATTGAGCGAATTTAATTATTTTTAAAATGAATGTAAACACTTAATTTAATTTTAATTATAAAATAAAATGACTTACCAAATAAGTATATCATTATATATGTATTAATTAATTAAAATTAATTAAATTGTATTCATTAATTAAATTCTATTAATTGAATTTTTAAAATTAAACAAATGAAATATTTTAAGCAATTTACTATTAAATAGTTAAATTAGAAAATACGATTAAATTATTACAATGTAAACAATAGTTTATGTGAAATTTCGTTTTTAAATAACGTTAGGTGTTACGTTTTCATACATTACGTTACGTTAACTTAACAAAACAATTACGTTAACTTAAGAAATTAATTACGTGAACTTAAGAAAATAATTACGTTAACTTAAAATAATAATTACGTTAAATTAAACTTTTGTAAATTCTACTCGTAATAGAAAATTTATAAAAGAATTACAGAAAAAAAAAACACTTACACTAACACACACACACACACACAAACGCAAAGTTAAACATGAATAATATATAATATATATAAAAAATAAAATAAAAATATTTAAAAATTGAAAACACATATAAACTATTAAATAGTTATTAATATTAAAATAATAATTTTTCAAACTATAGAAAGAAAATTTTTGAATACATTGAAAAAGTGTGGAAGAACGCACAAAATTGTCTTTGGAATTTATATATAGAACTAGAGATATATAAATATAGTAGAGCAACTTAAAAGATTTGATAACGTATACTGAATTTAATGGGAATATAAAATATAAAAACCATAAATGGATTGTTTAGTAGTAGCACTGTGCAGTATATACATATATATATACACATATATGCATACATTTACACATACGGATATATGAGAAAATATATACGACTGATTGTGAGCAATTCTTATAAAGGAACAAGGCAAACACTCTAACACAATAAATAAATTGAAAAACATTAACATTTACATATTAACACAAATAATATATGCCAAATAAAAAACTAATTATACTATGAAAATAAAATATATTTATCTTAAAATAAAATATTTAATAAAATGGCTTTTACTTTTCCATATGGATTATACAATATATTTTTAATGACAGCTAATAGTTATTGTATATTTTTCTTATGTTAATATCTTTTAATGTGTAGTAAATTTATTACTGAAATGAGTTAGAGTAAACGGTGCATTTCTAACAATTTTAGAGCTAATAAATTAGGCAGAGGTCACACAAGACTACATATCATAATTAATATAATATATATATGTTATTATAATAAAAATTTTAATAAGCATGGGCATGTGTTCTTTACATCTCGTTTAAACCAGCTATATATGAATAGTATTCTTTAAAATATGGAACCATTCTAATACAAAGAATACCTATGTTACATCTCATCTATATATCTTCCACCACCAACTATCTCCTGACAAAGCAACTTATTTGTCTTGAACGTATCCAACTGTTTACAGTTTTTACTACACTGGCAAAGACAGAGCAACGTCTATTTGTTTATTATAATATATGTCAAAATTTAAAATCTTATACTAGAAATAGGAAGAAAATATTCGTTGTGCCAGAGCTTTCAGCACAGATATTAATAATTAAGTTTTGACTAAATTACAAGCTTTAATATATTTAAAAATCAAAAATATATTTTAAACAATAACTGTTTCTAATATGCTGATATTTGCAAAGATATGTTATCGAATAGAATCAAAAGTAAGAAATCTACGTTGTTTTTATTTGATGTAATAATGTGTACTATTAATTAATTAATGTGTCCTATTGATATTTGCATAATATATTGAGTAATATAAACATTATCCTCCATTTTTCGTCACTAAAAACTCCGATGAAATTTTGCGACTGGTGTGAGCAATACTGACACGCAATCTATCAAGAGAAAACTAAAGTACTAAACATCAACCATATAATTCGGCATCATAAAAAAAACAGATTACCCAAATCAGAAGGGTTGTATTCCATCATAATAAAACCCGATGACAAACATTTTGATGACTTGAAAAAAATTGACGGAACTCGATTGGGAACTTTTAATACAATCACCGTATAGCACGGATCTTATACCAACTGGCTACCATTTGTTTCAATCTCTTCAAAACTGTCTTAATGTTAAAAAATTGGTGAAAAAAAGTGCTACTCATAATTTCTTGGTTATCAATTATTATAGAATTATTTTTCACCAATTATTACAGAAGATCATAAGCAAGAACTTTATTAAATTTGATTTTCAATAACGAAAATTTTTTTTTGCCAAAGTACGTGAATCCTTCTTTTATCACCTAAAATTTTGAAGTTTTCAATAGTAAATATGAATTTACAAAATCAAATAAAATAATATTACTCCTAACACACGATGATTTCAGTCGACTCAGATACCAAATTTAAATATGATAGCTAATAACTAAAAAATTTAAAATGAATATTATTTAAATATTCCCTAGGATCATATTCAAACAATTCCGCAGTTACTGTCATTTTAACTAGTAACTTTTTCATTAACAGTTGGACACTTATTGTAAACTCAAAACGTTTAACAGCAACTGGTTTTCATTACAATATAAATGTAGTTGGAATAAAATGAGTGAATAAAAATAATAAAAGAGATTTATTGACAAAAATTTTTATTAAATTCTAGTTTTAAAATTCATTCATGATAACTATTTAATAAAAAATTAGTGCCGTGTTTTTTAGTTTATTTGTGGTACATTATTACGGTTATTACGTTTAGGTTTACACCAAAGGTTGCTTTAAATTATGTACATTAAGATTAACGTACTCAACTCATTGCTTAGCTTATCTCGATAAACGTGTTGGATTTAGTTTTATTTGCCTCACAAAACTCACACAAAACAAAATTTGCACCCATCGTTATCATAATAGAATTTTTTGAAGCAGTATTTCTTTAGTCATTAGCCTTAAAAATTAAGGACATAATTGTTTCGTTTATATCCGCATTAACTTTTGTCAACTTTGAAGAGCTATTGCCACTAAGTCCCATCTCCTTAATGAGATAAGGGCGATAGTGTATACAGGATTAATCTCTATTTTTGATCACATTAAAAATTCACTAAAATTTATTAATTGTTGATGAAGAAAAATGCAGGAAAAATAATTTAAAAATAATTTAAATTTTACCAAATAAAAAATCACGTATAATTATAATACTTCAAGTAATAATTATAATATAAAAATGTTAAATTTTTTTTTTTTGTAATTAGAAAATAAAAAATATAATATTGATATATTGATATATATATATCAATAATGTTTGGATAGTATTGATATTATTTGAAATATAAAGCAGTAATATTTTTATTTTTAGAACCCCCCAGTGCAAGGTTTAATTTTTAGTGCAATTTTTTTAATTTGCAATTTTCTTATTGCAAATAATTTTAGTATTTATTAAGAAAAAATAAGAATTCAGATAAGAAACATTGACATCTCTGTCTCTGTAACTTCTTGTCCCTGCTATTTTCTTCATCTACGCGGCTAAATTAGCTTCAGCTTTTAAGAGCTGTTTTAATAATACTTCTTATTTCAGTATATATATACTTTATTTAATAAAATTAAATTAAATATTGAACAATTAATATATTTCAATTTTGTTATAATATAGTATTAATTTTTTATATATTTTTCAAATACATAGTTTATTGCGATTTGATATTACCACGTGTTTTTGTGAGATAATATTTGGTTTATTTTAATAATTATTATAATTGAATACTATCACTTCCTTATAATAATTGTAATAAAATATTATAAAATAAAAATAAGAAAAATTTATTTTTACATTAATTCTTTATTCAAAAGAAAACATAAAAAAAACAAACGGAAACATGCAACCAAACCTGCACGAAACGGAAATGTTGTCTTTTTACATATATAAATTTTTATGATATTTTATTTTTAACAAAATTAACTTATTTAAAATTTTTTTGTTGTATATATTTTGTTCAATTAACTCCAAAACATTGCAAAAATATATTGAAATACTTAATACAAACATAAAAGAAAAACAACATAAATACGTGAGCTTATCTCTCATTTGAATTTAATTTCCTGTTTTACACTCATTCTCGCCATATTGTCGAATTGATCAGACCAAATGCAAACAAATAACTCTACACACATACATAAACACAACAACAAAAAGCGTAAGCGGTGAGTAGTAGCAGGAGTGTAAAAGAAATTGAATTGAAATTCAGTTTTGCGTTCTGTTTTCTGGTTTATGGCAGTTTATTGTTAACGTGTGTGCTTTTATTAAAAATTAAGTTGTATTTTACTTAAAACTCTTATTGAAATTTATATCATTGGAAAGATAAGAAAGTAAGCTTTAATATATTATAAAAAAATGTTCGTTTTAAATTTTATCCTTATTAAAAATTTAATAATTTATGACTTCCGTTTTGTGCGGCGGAACTGGAAGCCAAAGGCATGCAAAAAATTTATGAGAGAGAAATATAAGAGCGTAAAAGTGTTTGTTTGTTGTTAGAATATTATTAATAACTAAATTTGTTAATAAATTATTAAAGAAAAATGAAATTTGTGTTAAAAGTGAATAGGTTTATTTTTTCAACAAAAAATTGTTTAGTAAAATTAATAATCTCCATGATTTGTTGCAAGTGGCCAAATATTTGACATTTGTCAGTGTTGTAAAATGCAAAATTTTTGTGGGACGCAAATAATTATTAAATAACTATTTGTTTATTACTTATGTTGAATTTATATATAACATAATAATATATATAACATTATAATATTATAATCAATTTTAAAAACTTAGTATATATCATTTTCGTGTTTACAATTATTATTGCCAATAAATATGTGGTTTATACAGTGTAGAGCGTATCTTGCTATGTTCAGTCTAATGATAGTCTAATTTTAAATACCACTAGTTGTAGGTATTATAGAATAGTGAATAGTGAATGCAATCAAAATCTATTATTAAAAAGCTGCACCGTAGATATCGTAATCGTGCCGTTTTAAACAAATATAATAAATGTATTACATTTTGTGATGCGTATTATTATATATAATAGTCACTTTTTTTCTGAAAATATTAAAGCTTCTACCTTTTTTATTAAGTACTGACTATAAACTACTTGTCTTAGCACGCTAAAGGATGATTTCACAGTCGTAACAGTCAAAACCAATTAAGCATTAATTGAGTCAATTAGTTTAGTATTGAGACTTAAATCAGTATTGGGACTTAACTTACGACTATGAATTAAGTCTATATAATTATAGTTCATAATTATAAAATTATGAATTTTTAAAAATAAAATTATATTGTTTCTTATAACAACAATATACTACTGGTTAAAATTTCACCAATATATATTTACTTAAATTTAACATAATTAGTTCTATGTATACTTCTGTTGCTATTAAAGGAGTCTTACAATTTCCCTTTTGTTTATCAACCGAAAAAAATACGATCTGTCAAAAAAAAACTAGCGTCTGTGAAGCATTTTTTGTTGTTCCTTATTTTCACTTTTTGTTTTGATACAACTACGAACGCTTGCACAAAACGGATGTTATAATAAATGTTAAAATGTAAAGAAGAAAGAGAGAATAGTGTGTGCTTCATATTCGCGGCAATATTTATATTATATATTAAAAATAAATATTTATATTTTTTTCTTTTTGTGGAAAATCAGAATTTAAACAATTTTGTGACGTAGACACCAAACGATCAAACAAACATGGTCGGTGGTGTCGGTAACAAGGTGGTGGCCACACTGCGTGCAGATGGCAAAGTTTATCCAGCGGAGGACAACTGTAATCCAATAGAAAATCTAGTTAATTACAAAATCGTAAGTAAAATATTTTTATGAAAATCTTACTCTATTTAACACAATTAAATTATTGTAATTAACCAGCGCACCGAAGTGGAAATGAACAAAAGTCTGAATACCATTGGTATACCGACAACAATTGTTGATTTAGGAAAGCAATTACTGCAATATGCACGAGATAGTGACGTTAAAGGTGTGCGTAATATGTTGGCTCGTGGAGCACCTTTTACATCCGACTGGGTAAGAATTTTGCAACAAATATGCCAAGTACATGTGCAAGCACCTGTCAGTATCAGCAACAGGTTGTACGAATGCGATTACTGCATGCATTTTGTTGCTGCTATTATTATTATTATTGTTAGTGTTTGTGATATTTGATATTAATGGTATTATTTTATTTTTAATAGTTGGGTATGACGGCGCTACATTTTGCTGCTATGAATAATCAATATGTTATATGTGATATACTGTTGAAAGGTGGCATCAATAAAGATGCTAAAACAAAGGTGGAACGCACACCTTTGCACTATGCGTGCTATTGTGGTCATGAACGTATTGTTGAATTATTACTATCCAAATCATGTTGTGTTAATTGCAAAGATATGGTAAATAATATTATTTATTTTTATATATAGTTTATTATAATTTAATATTGTATTTTCTTAGCTGCGTATGACTCCACTTCACTGGGCTGTCGAAAAGAGATTTAAGTCCATTGTGACTTTATTACTAAAATACGATGCTGATGTGACACCGATGTCTAAATTTGGTAGAACTCCAGTCTCACTAGCTGTACTAACTGAGCAACTTGATTTAATAGAGGAATTGGAAGCAGCCCGTCAAATACAACTGACAAAAAAATTAAGTGAGGCTCATGAGGTAAATATAACTTTACTTATAAGTTTAAAGATAAAACATAGTTTTTTGCTACACCTTAAGTTTAAAATTAGTTTTATAATATAAGCATTTATAAAGTTGTCGTTGTTTACAATTGTAAAAGTTTAATTTTGTGATTTTTATTCATCATTATGTGCTTACATCAAAAAACAAAAAAAATTATAAAATCACTCAACAACTTGGTTAAACAGCCAAAGGAAATCGACATAACGAGAGTACGTAGCAATTTATTTTACATATCTTTCATAATTTTCCTATAGGAAGATATACTATGTTTGGATATATTTTACATATTGTAGAAAAGAGCTAAAATGAAACAAACCATTTGAAAATTAAAATAGAATTAATATAATGTTTATATATAATGATGTTATAAATTGTTAGTTAGTGGAAACTTAATGATTAGAATTTTATGTGATTAAAACCTGAAGTCTGTCTTGTGGGTCAAAGTTTATAAGTATCGTTGCTGTTGTTTTTGTTGTACCCCGCGGGAATCTTCATGTGTAGTCCCTTTTGTACGTGGTGTACAGTATTTGGTCAATGAACTCTTCGAGTGGCTCCAGAACGTAGACCTGGCCATTCTTAGAAGCAATGTATAATATTAAATTTTGCTACAGTTAAATACTTATAAATACTGTAATATTATTTTATGTGATATTTTTGAAAATGAGATTGTTTAACCGTTCGATCAACTTTTTCTTTTAACACCTTTTCGCCATTCAAAAGATCTGACTAAATCTCTATATATAATACATAATGAGTATTATCACTATCAGCCAATAAGATTCCTAATTTATGTAGTCTTGCGGTTGCTAAAACAGGGCAGTGACAAAGCAAATGAGTAATATATATAAGATATTCTACATATATTAATATATCTTCTAAAAGTCAAACCATAAAACGGGTGTTGTTGCAAAGATTTATAAGACGAATACATGGGTAGTAGGGAGTAGGGATGGGGATAGATGGGTCGTTGGGCTCAGTTTTTATTTGTAAATTAGTTAAGATGAAATTATTATAAAAATTATAGTACACATGCAGTCCTTTGCAGGAAAAGTTTTATACATCTTATTACATTGAAATGCTTTACTACAGCAGTTTTATAATTCGTGATTAAATTATGTGGTTAAGTTCTAGAAGCAACTATCTCAAATAAATTGGACTTTAATTCATAGACTTTCAAATCATAACTTTACCAGACAATTTTTTGGTAAAGTTTTTTCACACTTTTAGTTCACAGGGTATTAACCAACAGATATGCATTGTGTTTTATATAAAATTATTTTAATAGACTCTGTAATATCGAATATGTTTTTAAAACTTTCATTTAAATTAGCACAGTTTTTAATTTACTAATTTTAGAGAACTACTTTAGTCCCCAAGCTAAAAAACGCGAATTCCTGTATCTCTTCAGACCGATAAGATGATTTGATTCATTTTAGCTATTCCTTTTAAAACAAAACCATCTCGTCTTTGTCTAAAAATTAACTCAATAAAATTCAAAATTGCTGTTAACTCTTTCGTTAATATATAAGTAAAAAATAAATATTAATAAATCATATATATAGAGGGAAACATCAAATGCTGTCAACTCGATAACAGGAATACAAAATGACGAAGAGAAACCTAGCGCTAAAATGGAAGTGGATCCAGAAGATGAACTGATAAATGCTAATGCTGGTATTTTTGCGGAGACTTCAATGCCTGACTTCGATAATATTAAAGGTATATATTTTATTAATTAATTTTAATTGAGATTTTATTAATCATTTTACTATATATTTATTTTTTTACTAGAAACTGGTACACTGGACAATTCAACAGTTAATTTACTGAAATGTCATGGCATTTCAATGCTCAATGACGAAGATGATAATTTAAAGAATTTATTAAACAATGCATTACAGAATGGAAGAAAATTAATGTTATCAGAAGGCGGTAAAATGTTATTAAATCAAACAAAAACACCACAAAATAATAATAATATAAACATTAAAAATAATAATAATAATACTAAAACTATAGCCGTAGTGAAAAGTGAAGCAGGGCAAAATACCAACCGCCAGACCATAACGATTAATCCGAAACTCAAGGACAGCTCAATAATAACGAAAAAAGTTTGTTTTACACATATTTCAATACCCTTTATATATTTAGTAATAATTTTTATATTCGTTATTATAGGGAGTACGCATACTGTCTTTAAATGATTTTAAAAAGTTATATGGCAATAATCCAAATGCACCGTCTTGTCAACCGATTTCAATAGCTCTGACAAAGTAAGCCGAATGATATGCATGTAGTAAATAAAATATGTTTCGCTTTAGTTTAATGATTATTTATTTAAATTTTTTTTTTTTTAATGTTATCCTACTGCATTACTGTTAATTTAATTTTTTGTGTTTATCATAAATTAACTCAGTAAATCGAGCAAACTTCAGTTCATTTTTCTAATGAAAATCCATTTAAACGTTCTTAAATTATGTAAAGTGCTTGTCATTTAAATTCGTAACATATACACAAATAATAAGTGGCATAAAATTTATATATAATATACAGTACTCACTCGAAACAAAACGTGACGTAATTACGCACAATTTGTTTGCTTTTAAGAGAATTGTTAATATTTAAGACTAGTAAATGTAAAGAAAAAATGGAACGTATTATGCAGAGTTCATATTAGCCAGTATTTGTTTACTAGAGAGCACTGTATATATATGTATATGTGTCAAAATTTGTATATATATTTTGAAATAGTAATTTAATAATTATTTACTTAAAATTAAATATTTTTAGTGTACGTTCGAAACATATATTGGAGGACATACGGAAAAATAATATTGATCAGAAACTTTTTTTCAATGTTAAACAATTACAAAGTCGACAGGTTTGTAATAAATTAGTAAAAAAAACAATATATTTTAATATTTATTATTATTTATTATGTTCAAGAAAAAGCATAATTAAATAAATATAAACGTGCACTATCAAATAAATTATTAGTTGTTTAATTTTGTATTATTTATAAGTATAATATTTATTAAAAATATCTTAGCTCATATTTTAATATAGTTCTGATCACTTTTAAAACGAAAAATATTAATTAATTACAGGTTAAAAAACTGAAGCTTGATGAAACATGTGCAAATGGAATTATTAGTACAGAAAGTCATATCGAAGAAGACGAAGAGCCTGCCACTAATATAATAAAACTAAATCCAAGTGATAGCGATGTTGAAATAACAGAAGTTGCTGAACCAGTACCAACACCGCAGCCTGTCCGTGTATTGCATACGAAGCGTGTGGAACACCCTAAGCCAATACCAATACGTCTACCCACCACTGCGAGAAATCAAGTACTGACGGCGAGTAGAAATACTATTGAAGGTCATAGACCATCGGCTATTGTTCCAATATTATCACAAGCAGAAATATGCCGACAATTGACAGAGCTACGAAAGCAAAATGTTGAACTGAAACGCAAAATGGATCTTGTGCTAAAGGAGAATGAAGAAATGCGGTCACGTCTAGACCGTTTAGAACAAGTGCAACTGGTTGAGAATACTGCCGATCTATCCGCTATGTAGCCGATACCTAATCATTATAATAGTACTCGAAAAGTGTTCTTACTTGTATATATAAATATATATATATATCAATCTAATACAGTTCTTCCCATAAGTTTTCAAACGAATCGCAGACTTTTAGTTTATGCTTAAGAAGTTTCGTGTTTCATAAATTCTGTACATAATTTTAATTTTATAAGTAAAAATTGAATATAAATTATATTAATTTAAAATTTTAACGATTTAATCAAAATGAATTTGTTCTTAATCACTTTAAACAGTGAATGATTAAAAATTACATATACAATACTAATTGTATTTATTATTGTTGCTGCCCGTATCGTTCCAAGCCGCTCTTAGGGAAATCTTACATGGTGCGCTTTTCTTTATAAGTGGTGAAACATCAATGGGATTGTTAAACGGCAAAACTCCATAAAATAAATGTTCTGGAACCACTATTATATTTTAGGCATACTCTTATAATGTAATTTATTATAGCCTAGAACTTAACATTGTATTTAAAGCATTGATATATAAGCAAGCATTTACGTTAATTGCTAACAATGTAATTTGTTGGATTTATTACATATTGAGTATGTATACTTTTGTAATTGTATTATAAGTAAAGATATACTCTTCATATACCTTAAATTATTGTTATTAAATAGAGTTTTTATATTTTTATAACAATTAATAACAACTGTTAAACTTTAATATTTTTATACAATGAAATTTTGTATTTAAGAATAAAATTATTTTTAAAATTTTATATGTAATTCTATAGATTTATATGAATGTTATACGTTTTAAGATAATATATTTTAAGTGTACTATTAAAGAATCTAATATAATTAAAACAAAATGTATTGTTAATTAATTTCGCATATCAAATTTCAAACCTTAAAAAATCTTTATAGTAAATTAATTTTTAATGGTCAAAAATATAATTTAAACTGTTTAGTGAGATACTGTTAAATATCACAGCATAACAGTGGATCCATAATTTGATGTTTATTGCTAATAATAAAGCAGATCTAAAGCAAAATCTGATTCTACAAGGTACCAGCGGACACGGACACTTAACAAAAGAGCACAATTACAACATCAACGACAAACTAAATAATGTTCGCATATTCAATTATGCATTATCTAAAAAAAATTTGCATTTGCTACTAATGCTTTTATTGAATTTGAATGAAAGTTGTTTATGTAATTTATTAGTGCTTGTTGATAAGCATTGCTTCGCAGTTGACTAAAATAGGGGTAATTACAAACGTCGGGATAGTTACAGACATCGGCATAGTATGTTATATTGTTTCCGACTAATTCGACATAAATACGAAAAATAATTCCTTAGTTCATGGAGCAGAAAAAAGTGTGAGAGGTGAGTCGCATTTTCAATAGTAATGTGATACATGGCTAATGAGTATTATGTTAATTAGCTTGTTTTAATAGATGATTATAAGAAAGTAGTGTATATAACAAATAAAAGCCCTTAAGCCTAAAATGTGTTACTGGAGGATAAAGGATTAACTGAAACTGATGCATGACAAAAGAAAACTTCTTAATCCTTAAATCTGTTACTATATTCTATTGGTGCATAATCTTATCCTATTTAGATAGGACAACTAATGAATAAAAGCAATGATAAATTATAACTGTTTTGGTTACTAATGTATTAAGCATTAAAAACAATAATTGTAACTTGGTCATCCCACGCGTCAAAGGACCATTTTGATTGCTCAGAGGAATTCAGAATTTATCCAAATTTTATCCAAAATTTTTTGTTTTACAAAATTATTAATTTCAATTAAAAATTATTACATTTATAAATCCAATAGAGCCAATATATATGGTGTTTGTTTCTAACCGTAATTTAAAAAAAAAAAGTTACTTGTTTCTATCAAATAGGGAGAAAAGTTTGCTTATAGATGCTAGAGGCATTTAGATGGTGCGTAGTACGAAAAATGTTGGCAAAACTGATCTAGAGCAGTAATAATAGACACATTTTGTACTCCGTGTGTCACATCACTACGCATGACGTCATTAACTATACTTATTCTTGAAATATAAAATAATCATATAATTTTAAGAAAAAATATTAAAAATACATTAACTACACTTATTAAATCTTCAATATAAAATAAGCATATAACATGATTAAATTTATAAAAAATGCATTATTATTAATTATATTACATTATTAAAGTTTTATATTATTTTGTTCTGTTTTGTGGCTACCATCCCACAGGTGACGTTTACGCCTATATCGCAATATGGGTTGCTATTCAGTCTTTAACAAATGTAACTGCCAAGATTTCATAGAAGAGTGGAACAGAGTTAGCATATTCACTAACACTCGAAATGCGCCTTTTATATCTTTTCCGCAATAATCTAACCTGGTATTCAGTTATATTAATAACTGCTTTCAAATATTTTTTCTTTTACCCTCCGACTTCAATATTTCTCGCCGAGATCTGTTTGTGTTGTTCCTTTTGGGAGTGTTGAACGGCACTTGGTCGTCTAAATCGACGACTCAATATGACCAGTGACTCTGGAACGTAGACCTGGCCGTTCTTGCTGTCGATGTAAGCACTAATATAAAATATTATTTCTTTCTTTCCTTTTCTAGTGAATACAAATTTATAAAACTGTTATTACAATCAAATATATATGTATATAACCATATATATTATTGTTAAATATATACATATATATATATCTATATACTTATATCAAGGTATATCTTGCGCTTAAACTTCCTTTTGAAGTTTATCTGTTTGTTTTCTATAGCTGATATCACAGGTTGACTATATTTTAAGTCGGTTTCCATTATTTTTTGTTTTCCATAACTTTTATCTTCTGCTTCAATTTTAACATTCCCCGCTTAAAAACTTTCAGTTCACTTTGCTGTTGACGTAGGCACTTATATAAATAGTGGTTTACTTTTTTTAATTGTTTCCTAGTGAATACAAAATATATAAGATTATTTGTTAATATTATTCAATTTCAATATAACTAAACTCATCTTACACTTCTTTTTGAAGAATATCCATTTGTGTCTGGAAAACATGAGTACTCTGATCTGAATTAATGTTCTCATTGGCTAATGCTACAGGTTGAATATGCTCCAAGTTACTTTCAAGTGCTTCTTCATTTTTATTATCTTTTATTTTTAAATTATTTACATTTTGACTTTCAGGATTATCTGCATTTGAGATGAGGGATGCAACCAATTTCTTATCACTTCTTTTTTGCAGCTTCTCTATCCGTTTGCAAGCCGTTGGAGCAACACTTTTAATAATAGACGGAATGACTCCGTCCTTCAACAACCTTTTCGTACTAAAACCTATTAATTACAGTATATTTATTTCAAAAAATTATAATTTTTGGAAAGTCATATTTCCTACCTAATTTATACTTTAAATTGATTTCAAAATCTTCATCTTTGAAATGATCACTGCAGATAGTCCATGTTTTGTCTCTAAAAGTTTTTTCATTTTTACAAAACTGTAGCCATTTCATCGAAAGATTCTCATTTTTAGGAAAACGAAAAAAACTACATTCGCTATTCGCTTTTTGTTTATTTAAACAATCTTTCACAGCACAGCACTTCATTTTCAAATCTAAGCTCTATGTTATGAGTGCAGTCCCAGTCACGTCATTTATTCGCTCTTTGTGTACGTCATGATTTTGCTTGTATGATTGCAGTCACGTCACTATTGGTGAACAGCTGTCAGGGTTGCAAAACATTGATACTATTTTAGTAACATTTTATTAAATTTCATTGTGATGATTTCTATTTGGATTCTGATATATATAATTGAAATAATAAATTATGAATATTATTATTTTATTTACACAATATACAAATTGTTACAAATAAAACATAACAATTAAATATGTTTATATATTAACAAAAATAATTAAAAATTAAGTTTTATAATAAATTTTCGAATGGCCATATTATGTATTATTATATTGAAAAATTATTTAACGGTACTGAGAAAATCTCAAATAAGATAATCAACTACATATATGATATATTTAAATTTACATCGCGTAAAACAGCTGATCTCTTAGGCGTTTGCAAGTTCGAGTAAATTGATGGTAAATTGAGAAAAATAGTAAATTATGTCGGTATGGCAGCGAATGTTGGTATTTATCAGAATTGCAAGTATGGTAAATTAGATAAAAATTAGGTAATAGGTATTACCATTGTGAAAACTATATCATATATCATTTTATAAGATGTTTAATAAATAAATTTGAAAACTTTTAACCAAAAATAATAAATAAGTGCAATAAATAAATATTTACATAAGTGCAGTGCAAAAAATTCCTAGGAAATTTCAATTTACTCGAACTTGCACAGGGCCTTAATACAGTCACTAAGTAATCAAATGTAAACAAATTTTCTTTTAATTTGTAAAAATAAAAAGTATTGTGTGATTTCGCCTTTGTGTTGATTTAATTTGTTGCGAGTCTTGAGAAATATCCGTAGACTTCTGTGATTCGTAATAAATAGCACTTATTTTATATTCATACTAAGGGCCATGTTATGCAGAGTGTCTCGGGCACGGCATGAGTACAATTGTTGTTGTTTTTAATGCAAATTTTAAATTTGAGAATGAGAGAAAAAACAATATGGTCGTTCAAACTCCGGCATGAGAGCCGGCGTATTTGTGCCCCGGCACTAAGGCAAAACAGTGTTGTTTAGTAATAAATTTCAAAATTTGCGCCTTTTAGGAGCAAACTACTACAATTCTAGTACGTTTTGGAGAAAAGATGGCAGTAAGCAACACAGCATTTTTTTTATAAATCGCTAATAATATAATTATTACAATTTCCGATTTCAATGAAAGGCGTAAGTACTGTACACAATTGTTATAAGATAATATAATAATAAATTAATAGTATTACATCCTCTAGGAGGTTTTTCTTGCTAGTTATTTTTGGTGGTAAATTGAAAGTGAGCCTATCTAAATTTCCTTTTAAATTTAGGCACAACCAAGAAGTAGTAAAAATACAAAATTGGCAATACTGATGTGACACTCTGCATAACATGCATTTTCGGCATAGCCCGAAAGAGCGTAATTTGCCGTGCCCGAGACACTCTGCATAACATGGCCCTAAAGCAATCCTGCAACACTACATCTGCAATTATTTGAGAGTAAAAAATTAACACTGTCCAACACTTTTTTATTCTCTGTTATTATTCTGCATTGCAAAAAATACGTTCTCATTCATTATTTAAAGAGAATATTGGTTGCACGTGTGTTTTAATTTATTTAGTTTCTATTGTTTTTTAAAATTATATAGACTTTATATCAGTTGTTATATAGAGAACAATAATGGTTAGATAATTAATGTAATGTATATATTTATTGTTAAATTAAAAATTCATTACTTAAAGGTAAAAAGCAAAACAGACGAACTTCCCGGTTTTCCGTCCCTGGACTCATCAAATAACAAGGATGTGGAAGCGGGTGGTACGTCAAAGACAAAAGCCAAAAAAAGTGGAGGCTTTCAATCAATGGGACTTTCATTTGATATATTAAAGGGTATTACAAAGCGCGGTTACAAAGTACCGACACCCATACAGCGCAAAGTATATAATTTATTTAATTCATTAAATGCGAAAGAAATTAAAACTTCTGCATTTGTAGACAATTCCACTAATATTAGAAGGACGTGATGTAGTGGCTATGGCAAAAACTGGCTCTGGTAAAACTGCTTGTTTTTTAATCCCTCTGTTCGAGAAATTAAAGCAAAGAGAACCTACTAAAGGCGCACGTGCCTTGATATTATCGCCCACTCGTGAATTGGCAGTGCAAACCTTTAAATTTATAAAGGAACTAGGTCGTTTTATGGAATTGAAAACTATATTGGTTTTAGGTGGTGATTCAATGGATTCACAATTCTCCGCTATACATACGTGTCCTGATGTTATAGTTGCTACACCTGGACGCTTTTTACATTTATGTGTTGAAATGGATTTGAAACTAAGCTCTATAGGTAATTTCACAATATCAAAATATAATCCAATACAAATTATTAATTAAAATTTTATATATTTCAGAATATGTGGTCTTCGATGAAGCCGATCGTTTATTCGAAATGGGTTTTGGACAACAGTTAAATGAAACGCTACATCGTCTGCCAGCGTCTAGACAAATGGTCATGTTTTCAGCTACGTTACCGAAACTGTTAGTTGATTTTGCTAGAGCAGGTTTAAGTGATCCAATACTTATACGTTTAGGTAAATATATCAGAAAATCAGTTTGATCAATTTCTAATTTTTTTTTATTTATATTAGATGTCGAATCCAAGCTGCCAGATGGCTTATCGTTAAAATTTTTATACTGTCGCCCTGATGAACGCTATGCAGCTTTAGTTGTGCTACTTAAATTCATCATACCAAAAAATGCTCAAACAGTGGTATTTGCTGGTACACAGCATCACGTGGAACTTATATCATATGTAAGTAAAACAACTAAGCACTTTAAGAAGATTAAATAATTATAAACATTGCAGATTCTAACACAATCTGGAGTATCAAATACATCAGTCTACTCCAGTTTGGACCCATCTGCACGCAAAATTAACACAGCCAAATTTGTTAGCAAAAAAGTGTCTGTACTGATAGTTACTGATGTGGCAGCACGTGGTATTGATATACCCAGCTTGGATTATGTTGTAAATTTACATTTTCCTGGTAAACCAAAATTATTTGTGCATCGCGTTGGACGCTGTGCGCGTGCTGGACGAACTGGTACTGCATATTCAATATTTTCCACAGAGGACACAGCGCATTTACTAGACTTACACTTATTCTTAAATAGACCATTTAACATAAACGATAACAATTCTATCGGTACAATACCACAAGATATAGTAGAAGAGGAATATTTGACAGTAAATGAAATTAAGAATAGTCATCATATTGTAAGTAATATTTTTTTAAATGTATTTCAAATAATGGATTTGATTGTAATATAATTTTTACTTAGAGCGGCGTACTACGCACTAGCGAAAATGCTTATAAAAAATATATAACTTCACGTCCAGTTGCTTCCACCGATGCTAATGCGCGTGTTAAAAAATTAAAATTTGTCAATATGAAACCTTTAGAGGATTTCTTAAAGTCATCAACTGTCTTGGAACAATCTGGTTTAGTAAATGGTGAAAAGAAAACTAAATCTAAGGAACAAATTGCTGCTAATGAGCGAAAGCTGCAAGAAGAAAAACATGATATACTAGTGAAAATGCGAAATTTTAAACCAACCACTGTAAGTTTTTTTTTTTAATAAGTGCGAAGAAGAAATTATTAAAAAAAAATTTTTTTAGACTATTTTTGAATTAAAGGGTACACAAAAGTCTGTTCAATATACGGTTATGAAAGAAAAGCGTTCTAAGCATGAAAATACGATTGAGAAATTCCGTACTACTGTAGAGAAGGAAGAAAAAGAAGAACAAAACAAACTTCTAGAACAACTAGAAAAGGTAACCTGAATATTGAAAGTAGATTAGTAATCCATTTATATGAAAAATTTATTTTGACTTTCAAATTATATATCCATGTAAAAATGGATCTATAATGTACCTACGTTATTATTGTTGTAACCCAGTAAGACCAGCTTTTTCTGTTTCTATTGGGAAGGAACGACGGTGCTTATTTCTCTTTAAAGACAAATAGTTACGGGGCATAGACCTGTAGTTCTTGGAACCTCTTGTTTTCATTGTACCCAGATATAAATTTTCAAACAAATATGAACAACGTAAGAAATAAAATAAGATAAATGGAAGCATATTAGAAAGCATATTAGAAAGCCTAGTAGTAAGTTTTTAAGAAAACTGAATATTTATATCAAGAACAACATGATATATCTGGTCAGATACAAGCATATACTTGATTCCATGTAGTCTAAATTTGCAGTTATAGAACAAATTATAATCTAGATTTATCTGCCAATAAGTTATTTATATTCTGATGTCAGTAATAGAGCACACTTCATTAATTTAATAGATCATGGTATCTAGTATTTTTAGAGTAAAATCCTGGTATCTAAATATGTTATTCTATGTTACTATCTTGAAATACTAAATTCTATTTTAGTATTCAGTAATACTTAATTTTATGTTATTCAGTGGAAGTATAGTTATGAAAAAAATTGTTACTTCAGAGTGTTGTAGTGTATAAGTGCTTTTAAATTGGAGAAATTAGTTAGTTGTCTGTTATATATTTGTATAGATGTAACGAAGAGTTTTTGTTTTTCATTTCAGGAATAAGTTATGAGGTTTTTTAACTTATTAATCTAAGACTTTGGTATATAGTTAAGAGCAAAAGCGAAATTTATTATATAGTTCGAATAGTCTTTTGGATCCTCAGATTTTTTAACTCGAATAGACAGGTGAATATATAGCTTTATTAATGGCTTTAACACCATAAATTACATTACAGTTGCATAGAGTAAATAATTTATTTCGTAATATAGTTTTGTCTATGTAATCAGAAGATCCGGAAAGGTTCATACGAAAGCTATTTATAATGACACATATGTAATACTGTAATGAAATTATAGTCCAATTCATTAGGAAGGATACAACACAAATACAAATAACGAAGTATAAAAATAAATGGAACTGTCCTTATTTAATAAAATGCACTATTTAATTTATATTAGAATGATCTATATTTAGTAAAAATTTCGTTGTTAGTTTTTCTTAATTTAATAATGCAAATAAAACGTAGAAAACGTTTTAGGAAGTAATCAATTTCTCCTCTCTTTTATAGCCTAATCCTTTCTTGGGTCGAGTCTCCTAGTGCTGTATCTCTAAGACTACAGATACTGAATTATCTCATTTCCTGCACTGCATTTAGATTTTAATTTAGATTGTATTTCTGTAGATTATCTGACCCATTCTTTCTCTCCTTTATGTATAAAGGAGACCCCTCACCACTTTGTTATTTCTTATTTATTTAAGGATAGCTAGTATATTTATGGAAAGTAATCTTCAGCAGCAAAAATTTAATTTCTACTAAAATAACTCTTTACGTCATTTAATCATTTTAAAATGAATGACTTGGATTTGTAATAGATGACTGGTATACTGGTACACTGGTTATTAATCATTTCTTTTAATACTTTGAATCTTTTTAATTTGTAATTAAAAATAAACTGTAAAAATAGTGTGTTTCATTATCATTCATATCTAATTTTTAGGATGATGAAGCGGATGAAGAAGCTATTAGCAGTGCCTTTAATAAAATTGTAGCACCCAAAAAGCGTAAAAATATGGATGAACTTTATAAAGATAAATCAAAAAAGAAAAAGAAGAAAAGTAACAATAAAGACATGGAAAACTTTATACCTTATCAATCTGCTGATAAGCACACAGAAGATGGACTAGCCATAAATTCATTTGAAAGGCAAGCAATGAACGCTGAATTCTCAGTTATTGATCGTAATACGAATGAAACGCAGTTCAAGCCAGGTATGAAACGTTGGGATCGTATAAAGAAGAAAATGGTTGCAGTACAGGATCCACGTACGAATAAAATACGTACGGAATCAGGTGCATGGATACCAGCATCATTTAAAACTGGTCGCTATAATGAATGGAAAGAAAAATCCAAAATTGAAGAACAATTACAACGTGAAGCTGGCAGTGATGATGATACCTTCAAACCTTTATCCCACGAAAAACGATATCCGGTTAGTAGGCATGCAAGACATAATGCTAAATTTGAAGCAAAGAAACGCATGGGTAGTGGTGGTGATAAAGAGATACGACATCCAGACCAAATTGTCAAGCAACGGATGCGTTTGGAATTCATTAAGAAACGTAATGCTGATAATGCCGTACGTAAAGCTGAAAATCGTAAGCGGAGTATGCGTAAAAGTCAACGTGCTTCAATGTCCAAACGTGGAAAAAAGAAATAGGATTTTTATTTAATTTTTCTTTTAGTTGTAAATAAATAAAGTAATTGTTATTTGTAATTGAAATTAATTTAAGTTATTAATATGTAATTTTTAATTATTCGTCTGACTTTCATAGAAACGAAAGAATTTTTTAACCAAAAGATACTATTGAGCTTTACAATAGCATTAATTTGAGTATTTATTAGAGAGTTGTCATAACTCGCCACTATATTGGCACCTATTTGTCGGATCTTCAACGGGAATGACGTTATTGTAGCCTCCCGGGATCTGAAGAGCAGATAACACATAAGGATTACAAGACAAATGCATGGTTTGGGATGTGGATGGGTGGTGTTTGTTGCACGGGTAGGGGGAAATTTAAATTAACCCGGGTCCAACCGCAGAAACCTAGCCACTTTAAGATGGTGAATCCAAATGTCAATTGGACTAAAATTCGAATGTGTAGAGTGACAAGAGAACAGATGGGCGACGGGAATTATAAGCGGCACTTGATATTGTAGTAACCCAGTTGAGAAAATCGATTGGCGTTTGGTGGTTTGTTGAGACGAACGTTTCTGGAATATAGATTTTGCTGAATCGTCAATGTTAGATGATTATTATTCTTATCAATTAATCACTCTAGGATCCGGGGCATCAGAGTGAATATCAAGGTGTTGTTATACAATTGCTCCATTTAATTATAATAATGTTAAAATGTAGCTTTCATACTTAGTTGAAAATACTGATCGTAGCATATTTTGAAGAATTTCTACAGATTGAATTATACCCAGCTTGGATTATGTTGTAAATTTACATTTTCCTGGTAAACCAAAATTATTTGTGCATCGCGTTGGACGCTGTGCGCGTGCTGGACGAACTGGTACTGCATATTCAATATTTTCCACAGAGGACACAGCGCATTTACTAGACTTACACTTATTCTTAAATAGACCATTTAACATAAACGATAACAATTCTATCGGTACAATACCACAAGATATAGTAGAAGAGGAATATTTGACAGTAAATGAAATTAAGAATAGTCATCATATTGTAAGTAATATTTTTTTAAATGTATTTCAAATAATGGATCTGATTGTAATATAATTTTTACTTAGAGCGGGGTACTACGCACTAGCGAAAATGCTTATAAAAAATATATAACTTCGCGTCCAGTTGCTTCCACCGATGCTAATGCGCGTGTTAAGAAATTAAAATTTTTCAATATGAAACCTTTAGAGGATTTCTTAAAGTCATCAACTGTCTTGGAACAATCTGGTTTAGTGAATGGTGAAAAGAAAACTAAATCTAAAGAACAAATTGCTGCTAATGAGCGAAAGCTGCAGGAAGAAAAACATGATATACTAGTGAAAATGCGCAATTTTAAACCAACCACTGTAAGATTTTTTTATTTATATGTGTAAGGAAGGAATTATTAAAAAAAATTTGTTTTTAGACTATTTTTGAATTAAAGGGAACACAAAAGTCTGTTCAATATACGGTTATGAAAGAAAAGCGTTCTAAGCATGAAGATACGATTGAGAAATTCCGTACTACTGTAGAGAAGGAAGAAAAAGAAGAACAAAACAAACTTCTAGAGCAACTAGAAAAGGTAACCCGAATATTGAAAGTAGATTAGTAATCCATTTATATGGAAAATTTATTTTGACTTTCAAATTATATATCCATGTAAAAATGGATCTATAATGTACCTTCGTTATTATTGTTGTAACCCAGTAAGACCAGCTTTTTCTGTTTCTATTGGGAAGGAACAACGGTGCTTATTTGTCTTTAAAGACAAATAGTTAGGGGGATAGACCCATAGCTCTTGGAACCACTTGTTTTCATTGTACCTGGATATAACTTAACAAACAAATATGAACAACGTAAGAAATAAAATAAGATAATTGAAAGCATATTAGAAAGCCTACTCGTAGTAGTAAGTTTTTATGTAAACTGAATATTTATATCAAGAACAACATGATGTATCTGGCCAGATACAACCATATACTTGATTTCATGTAGTCTAAATTTGCAGTTATAGAACAAATTATAATCTAGGTTTATCTGCCAATAAGTTATTAATTATATTCTGATGTCAGTAATAGAGCACACTTCATTAATTAAATAGATCATAGTATCTAGTATTTTTAGATTTAAATCCTGGTATCTAAATATTCTATGTTAGTATCTTGAAATACTAAATTCTATTTTAGTATTCAGTAGTACTTAATTTTATGTTATTTAGAATTGCATTTCAGTGGAAGTACAGTCATGAAAAAAATTGTTACTTCAGAAATTAGTAATTTGTCTGTTATATATTTGTATAGATGTAACGAAGAGTTTTCGTTTTTTATTTCAGGAATAAGTTATGAGGTTGTTTAACTCATTAATCTAAGACTTCAGTATATAATTAAGAGAAAAAGCGAAATTTAAATATAGTTCGAATAGTTTTTTGGATCCTCAGATTTTTTAACTCGATTAGACAGGTTAATATATAGATTTATTTATGCTTAAAATGTTTCTTAATGTTTGTAGAGATACTCGTTGAGATTTCTCCCTTAGAAAACTACAGTAGCATAGAATAAATAATTTGTTTCGTAATATAGTTTTATCTATGTAATCGGAAGAGCCGGAAAGGTTCATACGAAAGCTTTTTATAATGACACATATGTAACTACATAATGTAATGAAATTATAGTCCAATTCATTAGGAAGGATACAACATAAATACAAATAACGAAGTATAAAAATAAATGGAACTGTCTTTATTTATTAAAATGTACTATTTAATATTTAATTTCTAATATAGAATGATCTATATTTAGTAAAAATTTCGTTGTTAGTTTTTCTTAATTTAATAATGCAAATAAAACGTAGAAAACGTTTTGGGAAGTAGTCAATTTTTCTTCACTTTTCTAGCCTAACCCTTTCTTGGGTCAACTCTCTTAGTGCTGTATCTCCAAGACTTCAGATACTGAATTATCTCATTTCCTGCACTGCATTTCGATTTTAATTGTATTTCTGTAGATTATCTGACCCATTCTTTCTCTCCTTTATGTATAAAATTCGTCTCACCATTTTTTTTTCTAATGTTCTCAACTCATAGTCTTTATGTAGAATTAGAAAGATTAGATATTAGAAAGATTATATAAAAATGTTATTTCTTATTTATTTATGGATAACTAGTATATTTATGGAAAGTAATCTTCAGTAGCAAAAATTTAATTTCTACTAAAATAACTCGTAACGTCATTTAATCATTTTAAAATGAATGACTTGCATTTGTAACAGATGACTGGTATACTGGTAAAATGGTTATTAATCATTTCTTTTAATACCCTGAACCAACTTAATTTATAATTAAAAATAAACTGTAAAAATAGTATGTTTCATTATCATTCATATCTAATTTTTAGGATGATGAAGCGGATGAAGAAGCTATTAGCAGTGCCTTTAATAAAATTGTAGCACCCAAAAAGCGTAAAAATATGGATGAACTTTATAAAGACAAATCAAAAAAGAAAAAGAAGAAAAGTAACAATAAAGACATGGAAAACTTTATACCCTATCAATCTGCTGATAAGCACACAGAAGATGGACTAGCCATAAATTCATTTGAAAGGCAAGCAATGAACGCTGAATTCTCAGTTATAGATCGTAATACGAATGAAATGCAGTTCAAGCCAGGTATGAAACGTTGGGATCGTATAAAGAAGAAAATGGTTGCAGTACAGGATCCACGTACGAATAAAATACGTACGGAATCAGGTGCATGGATACCAGCATCATTTAAAACTGGTCGCTATAATGAATGGAAAGAAAAATCCAAAATTGAAGAACAATTACAACGTGAAGCTGGCAGTGATGATGATACCTTCAAACCTTTATCCCACGAAAAACGATATCCGGTTAGTAGGCATGCAAGACATAATGCTAAATTTGAAGCAAAGAAACGCATGGGTAGTGGTGGTGATAAAGAGATACGACATCCAGACCAAATTGTCAAGCAACGGATGCGTTTGGAATTCATTAAGAAACGTAATGCTGATAATGCCGTACGTAAAGCTGAAAATCGTAAGCGGAGTATGCGTAAAAGTCAACGTGCTTCAATGTCCAAACGTGGAAAAAAGAAATAGGATTTTTATTTAATTTTTCTTTTAGTTGTAAATAAATAAAGTAATTGTTATTTGTAATTGAAATTAATTTAAGTTATTAATATGTAATTTTTAATTATTCGTCTGACTTTCATAGAAACGAAAGAATTTTTTAACCAAAAGATACTATTGAGCTTTACAATAGCATTAATTTGAGTATTTATTAGAGAGTTGTCATAACTCGCCACTATATTGGCACCTATTTGTCGGATCTTCAACGGGAATGACGTTATTGTAGCCTCCCGGGATCTGAAGAGCAGATAACACATAAGGATTACAAGACAAATGCATGGTTTGGGATGTGGATGGGTGGTGTTTGTTGCACGGGTAGGGGGAAATTTAAATTAACCCGGGTCCAACCGCAGAAACCTAGCCACTTTAAGATGGTGAATCCAAATGTCAATTGGACTAAAATTCGAATGTGTAGAGTGACAAGAGAACAGATGGGCGACGGGAATTATAAGCGGCACTTGATATTGTAGTAACCCAGTTGAGAAAATCGATTGGCGTTTGGTGGTTTGTTGAGACGAACGTTTCTGGAATATAGATTTTGCTGAATCGTCAATGTTAGATGATTATTATTCTTATCAATTAATCACTCTAGGATCCGGGGCATCAGAGTGAATATCAAGGTGTTGTTATACAATTGCTCCATTTAATTATAATAATGTTAAAATGTAGCTTTCATACTTAGTTGAAAATACTGATCGTAGCATATTTTGAAGAATTTCTACAGATTGAATTATACCCAGCTTGGATTATGTTGTAAATTTACATTTTCCTGGTAAACCAAAATTATTTGTGCATCGCGTTGGACGCTGTGCGCGTGCTGGACGAACTGGTACTGCATATTCAATATTTTCCACAGAGGACACAGCGCATTTACTAGACTTACACTTATTCTTAAATAGACCATTTAACATAAACGATAACAATTCTATCGGTACAATACCACAAGATATAGTAGAAGAGGAATATTTGACAGTAAATGAAATTAAGAATAGTCATCATATTGTAAGTAATATTTTTTTAAATGTATTTCAAATAATGGATCTGATTGTAATATAATTTTTACTTAGAGCGGGGTACTACGCACTAGCGAAAATGCTTATAAAAAATATATAACTTCGCGTCCAGTTGCTTCCACCGATGCTAATGCGCGTGTTAAGAAATTAAAATTTTTCAATATGAAACCTTTAGAGGATTTCTTAAAGTCATCAACTGTCTTGGAACAATCTGGTTTAGTGAATGGTGAAAAGAAAACTAAATCTAAAGAACAAATTGCTGCTAATGAGCGAAAGCTGCAGGAAGAAAAACATGATATACTAGTGAAAATGCGCAATTTTAAACCAACCACTGTAAGATTTTTTTATTTATATGTGTAAGGAAGGAATTATTAAAAAAAATTTGTTTTTAGACTATTTTTGAATTAAAGGGAACACAAAAGTCTGTTCAATATACGGTTATGAAAGAAAAGCGTTCTAAGCATGAAGATACGATTGAGAAATTCCGTACTACTGTAGAGAAGGAAGAAAAAGAAGAACAAAACAAACTTCTAGAGCAACTAGAAAAGGTAACCCGAATATTGAAAGTAGATTAGTAATCCATTTATATGGAAAATTTATTTTGACTTTCAAATTATATATCCATGTAAAAATGGATCTATAATGTACCTTCGTTATTATTGTTGTAACCCAGTAAGACCAGCTTTTTCTGTTTCTATTGGGAAGGAACAACGGTGCTTATTTGTCTTTAAAGACAAATAGTTAGGGGGATAGACCCATAGCTCTTGGAACCACTTGTTTTCATTGTACCTGGATATAACTTAACAAACAAATATGAACAACGTAAGAAATAAAATAAGATAATTGAAAGCATATTAGAAAGCCTACTCGTAGTAGTAAGTTTTTATGTAAACTGAATATTTATATCAAGAACAACATGATGTATCTGGCCAGATACAACCATATACTTGATTTCATGTAGTCTAAATTTGCAGTTATAGAACAAATTATAATCTAGGTTTATCTGCCAATAAGTTATTAATTATATTCTGATGTCAGTAATAGAGCACACTTCATTAATTAAATAGATCATAGTATCTAGTATTTTTAGATTTAAATCCTGGTATCTAAATATTCTATGTTAGTATCTTGAAATACTAAATTCTATTTTAGTATTCAGTAGTACTTAATTTTATGTTATTTAGAATTGCATTTCAGTGGAAGTACAGTCATGAAAAAAATTGTTACTTCAGAAATTAGTAATTTGTCTGTTATATATTTGTATAGATGTAACGAAGAGTTTTCGTTTTTTATTTCAGGAATAAGTTATGAGGTTGTTTAACTCATTAATCTAAGACTTCAGTATATAATTAAGAGAAAAAGCGAAATTTAATATATAGTTCGAATAGTTTTTTGGATCCTCAGATTTTTTAACTCGATAAGACAGGTTAATATATAGATTTATTTATGGCTTTAACACCTTAAAATGATTCTTAATGCTTGTAGAGATACTCGTTGAGATTTCTACCCTAGAAAATTACAGTTGCATAGAATAAATAATTTGTTTCGTAATATAGTTTTGTCTATGTAATCGGAAGATCCGAAAAGGTTCATGCGAAAACTTTTTATAATGACACATATGTAACTACATAATGTAATGAAATTATAGTCCAATTCATTAGGAAGGACACAACATAAAAACAAATAACGAAGTATAAAAATAAATAGAACTGTCCTTATTTACTAAAATGCACTATTTAATTTATATTAGAATGATCTATATTTAGTAAAAATTTCGTTGTTAGTTTTTCTTAATTTAATTATGCAAATAAAACGTAGAAAACGTTTTGGGAAGTAGTCAATTTTTCTTCACTTTTCTAGCCTAACCCTTTCTTGGGTCAACTCTCTTAGTGCTGTATCTCCAAGACTTCAGATACTGAATTATCTCATTTCCTGCACTGCATTTCGATTTTAATTTAGATTGTATTTCTGTAGATTATTTGACCCATTCTTTCTCTCCTTTATGTATAAAATTCGTCTCACCATTTTTTTTTCTAATGTTCTCAACTCATAGTCTTTATGTAGATTTAGAAAGATTAGATATTAGAAAGATTATATAAAAATGTTATTTCTTATTTATTTATGGATAACTAGTATATTTATGGAAAGTAATCTTCAGTAGCAAAAATTTAATTTCTACTAAAATAACTCGTTACGTCATTTAATCATTTTAAAATGAATGACTTGGATTTGTAACAGATGACTGGTATACTGGTACACTGGTTATTAATCATTTCTTTTAATACTCTGAATCATTTTAATTTATAATTAAAAATAAACTGTAAAAATAGTATGTTTCATTATCATTCATATCTAATTTTTAGGATGATGAAGCGGATGAAGAAGCTATTAGCAGTGCCTTTAATAAAATTGTAGCACCCAAAAAGCGTAAAAATATGGATGAACTTTATAAAGACAAATCAAAAAAGAAAAAGAAGAAAAGTAACAATAAAGACATGGAAAACTTTATACCCTATCAATCTGCTGATAAGCACACAGAAGATGGACTAGCCATAAATTCATTTGAAAGACAAGCAATGAATGCTGAATTCTCAGTTATAGATCGTAATACGAATGAAACGCAGTTCAAGCCAGGTATGAAACGTTGGGATCGTATAAAGAAGAAAATGGTTGCAGTACAGGATCCACGTACGAATAAAATACGTACGGAATCAGGTGCATGGATACCAGCATCATTTAAAACTGGTCGCTATAATGAATGGAAAGAAAAATCCAAAATTGAAGAACAATTACAACGTGAAGCTGGCAGTGATGATGATACCTTCAAACCTTTATCCCACGAAAAACGATATCCGGTTAGTAGGCATGCAAGACATAATGCTAAATTTGAAGCAAAGAAACGCATGGGTAGTGGTGGTGATAAAGAGATACGACATCCAGACCAAATTGTCAAGCAACGGATGCGTTTGGAATTCATTAAGAAACGTAATGCTGATAATGCCGTACGTAAAGCTGAAAATCGTAAGCGGAGTATGCGTAAAAGTCAACGTGCTTCAATGTCCAAACGTGGAAAAAAGAAATAGGATTTTTATTTAATTTTTCTTTTAGTTGTAAATAAATAAAGTAATTGTTATTTGTAATTGAAATTAATTTAAGTTATTAATATGTAATTTTTAATTATTCGTCTGACTTTCATAGAAACGAAAGAATTTTTTAACCAAAAGATACTATTGAGCTTTACAATAGCATTAATTTGAGTATTTATTAGAGAGTTGTCATAACTCGCCACTATATTGGCACCTATTTGTCGGATCTTCAACGGGAATGACGTTATTGTAGCCTCCCGGGATCTGAAGAGCAGATAACACATAAGGATTACAAGACAAATGCATGGTTTGGGATGTGGATGGGTGGTGTTTGTTGCACGGGTAGGGGGAAATTTAAATTAACCCGGGTCCAACCGCAGAAACCTAGCCACTTTAAGATGGTGAATCCAAATGTCAATTGGACTAAAATTCGAATGTGTAGAGTGACAAGAGAACAGATGGGCGACGGGAATTATAAGCAGCACTTGATATTGTAGTAACCCAGTTGAGAAAATCGATTGGCGTTTGGTGGTTTGTTGAGACGAACGTTTCTGGAATATAGATTTTGCTGAATCGTCAATGTTAGATGATTATTATTCTTATCAATTAATCACTCTAGGATCCGGGGCATCAGAGTGAATATCAAGGTGTTGTTATACAATTGCTCCATTTAATTATAATAATGTTAAAATGTAGCTTTCATACTTAGTTGAAAATACTGATCGTAGCATATTTTGAAGAATTTCTACAGATTGATTTTTTGTAATGTAAACTAAAAAGTGTGAATTTCGCTTTCATGCCCTGCCCCAAAGTTGGAAATCACTTCCGAACATGCTTTTTTGTTGCTGATTGAATTTAATTGTTTATAAATTGTAAAAAGGCGTCAGTAACATGTTTAAAAATATATTTATATATATTTCTTTTATGCAAACTTATATGAATGAATGCTGCTTATAATGTGGCTCGCGAGCCATAAAAATGTTTGCGTTCCACTAAAACTGGAATGCTACGTTTAGTCTTCCTTGGCGAAAACACTTTTAGCCACGAAAAGTAAACGTTCGAAAAATTCTAATAGAATTCGAATTAATTTTTTGATTTTTTGTTGTTTTTGTAGTTTTTGTAATATAAACAGCATTTTTTGAATTCCAAAGTATTTTCAAATACGTAAATGAATTTGTTAATAAATAAATAAGCAGGTGTGTTTGTGCAATATGTGCTATATTTGCACACAGATGCTTACGTGCCTCGTGAGCTGATGAGCTCTGCGATTGTGCTATGGAATATATTTATTTTGATATCCGCACGACAGTCTGTCTATCAGTGATCAATAAGGAAAATTTGTTATTGAAATGAGCTGAATTTCCAATATAAATTACCTGAAATAGTCGTTGTAATAACTCAATTATTAATCAATTAATTATTGCGTTTTAATTTTATTTCAGACATATAGAAAATTAATGTCTATATATGGGATTAAGTTGCATATATGAAGGAATGCCGCAAAAGTGCTCGGAGAGACACTAAAATCTATCATAGCCACAAGAGATTGCTCACTAGGCGATATGTTTTCTCTATTTCAATGGACAGAAGTTATAGACAAACCTCTTCATAAGCTAAACGATCTTTGTTTTGCAACTTAGTGGAACGCGGATGATCTGGAGGTACCCGGAGTTGGTTGACATGGCCTTACCATTTCGGATCACTTTCAACAAGCCTTGCCATTGATTGACAAATGGTGTATAGGCGAAGCTCTCTTAATTAATCGATGCAAAACTACACTGATACCGTTCACTAGAAGAAACGGCATTAATCTTGCATGGTATGTTAAATTAGACCACATTGAGTAATCTTTGATAAAACGCTTACAACCTCATCTTGTGAAATATGCTTTTGTTATATTGCATTCTTTGCTTGTACAAGATTCATTGGCAAGATTTTGAATCTAGATCCTAAAACGAATTATTAGGCAATCATATTGGTAGTAAAAGCAGTAATTACGATATAGATGCCTCGCTGAAATGGTGGTCCAAGATCAATCAAAGGAAAGTAGAGAATAAATTAATCAAGTGTTAGCTTGCTTGTGTCAGCTTCACAAAGGCAATAAAATTCTCCACAACCAACGTTTTGGGGATACTTTTAAATATCTCACCGCTTTTTATCTTTATCGAGAAAGAAGCTTTTTTAGGTGTATTAAGTATGACTACAAGGCATTTACGAAGTTGAAAGCGGAAGTATAAAAGGCTATCCCAAAATCTTAAAAAGTTTTGTTCATAGACTTATTGTACTGAGAGATAATAAAGAGAGAGAGAGAGAGAGAGATATATATATAGAAAACAAGTTCTATTATTCAATTATTTGGAGGAGTCATAGCTAGAAAACGTTAGGAAATTGGAGGAACAAAAGGCCTTAGATTTAAAAAATCAATTTCAATGGGTTTACACCCAACACTTTTTCCAGCAGAAATACATATCATTGAAATATGTGCGAGAGAATGTCTTAATGTTATGATAGATAGTCAAGCGGCTATGAAAGTCCTCCATACTGTAACGATTACTTCAACAATGGTAAATGTTTGCCTAAACCTTCTGAATAGTTAGAGAACCTTCTGAATAGAGTTAATACTGTAGTGTTAGAACCGGTTCCGGTAAATGAAAATAGTGAAATGGATGATTACTTAGCCAAGAGTTTGTTTGTTTGACACTGAACAATAGCCTTAATTGAGGTTATCACGAAGAAAAAATTTATATACCGGTTTAATAAAGTATGTAAACCATTTCTTATTATTTCTTACCCCAGCGAAGGGAATATCAAGTAAGATACTTTCGCTAAATTGATACCTGATACCACATCAGTTAAAGAAGTTGTGGCTGTCTGCGGTGTTACTTGTCGTTTTTATTTAATAGGTACTAAAAGCTCAGAGCAAATTTTTTGTGAATGTCCAACTCTTGCCAGACAAAGGCGTCACCAATTACGTTAGGGGTTAGGGGTATTGTTATATAAATTACATCCATATAAATAAAGTAACAACAAACCTCAAATTGTATTATAATTTATAAACAGTCTAAATATACAGGGCGATGCATAATAAATATGGACTATAACCTAACATATATGGACTTCTGATCTATAACTTTTTATTCAATTTTGTATAATTACAAATATTTTTAACATTGTTATATTAGAATGTACTAAAATTCTTGAAAGAATTTATAAAGTTCAAGGACTGACAGGGTGTACGTTACGAAGTCATTCATTTACAACAAAGGCTATCCAACAATACCATTTAAGATGTGTCGTTCATAATGATGGCGAAACAACGCGGATGGAAATAAATTGACGAAGAACTAATCCCATAAAATGCAAAGTTTATTAAGATATTATGTAGATATATTGCAAAGACTAATCCTAATCCAAAAATTTCCAAAATAATATGCTTTGTTTTAGTAAAATGCCAAGATGCCGTAAGAGTATAATCGTTTCAATTTCTTTTTTTTCTCACAAAAAAATATTTTTTATTTATATATATAATATTTGGTATATTACAAACGCATCTAATTTTTTGTATATTATAATAATCAAAATATCGTATTCAAACTTCCACTAAACAGTATGTGAAAAAACTTTGAAAGAATTAAAAAAAATAATTTTATAATTTTGTATGAAACTATTAATCAATTGTACAACAAATTTCATGTAGCTTTTACAGACTTATATATAATGTCTCACTTAAAGTAGATGAGAATTATAATGCCACAATAAAAAAATAATCACAAGAAAATCAATTAGCAACGGAAAAATAAGTTGAAAAATGCATGATATTATGGTGTGTTTGATGTTCTTACTAAAATGGATGTATATGATTAGATGCCTCCATATCGGATGCGTTGTTATTAATATAAGTCCATCAATATTTTAAAAGTAAAAAAGTAGAATTATTTTGATGTTAATATTGAAAACAAAATATAAATAAATTAAAATAGTGGCCAAAAGTTACCTGCGCTGCACTGAAGATCTCTCATTTATTCACCCATATTATTTTTATAATTTAAAAAATTGAATCACTAATACAGCTCATTCTGTAAATGCCTGTATATCTATAGAGCAGCATATGAGAATTATAAAATGAGACTGATTAAATATATACAACATTTAATATAGATATATATATATATATATATATAGATACTATGTATATATATAATTCGATTACAATTCTCGTTGAGATATCAGAAACTAATATTCATTTTTTTTGCTCTTGATCATTGAAACCCTTTTGGACTTACTTAAGTTTTGTATCTAGAACTAATGCCCAAATTTTTTTTAATTTTTTAACAATTTTATTTGAATTCAAGTCTTTCTATTAACATTTTTATAAAGAAATGTAATATAGAAGCAATGATATAAGCAGATGTGCTAATATTAATTATACAATGATATCTACATAATTTATACTAATTCTCGATTGGTACATAGCCTCATATTCAAGATGTTTTCGACTTATTTATTTTCTCAAGTATGAGCATTTCATTGAAAAAACAACAACAAGAATGCGTAAATATGAAGACTTAAAAATTATATGAATGGAGTTGCATTATCTCTCGGATATGGAATGTAGTTCAAAATAGTTTTATAATGAGTCTGTTAATAATAATTAAAAAAGATAAATGATTCCATTTAAAAAGTAAATGATTCACTGCCTTCAAATTGACGTGCAATTATGCTCAAATCAAAGTACTGCAAATCCACTCAACACCGCGTATCTATCTATACTATGCACCACACATGCGATGGTATCACTAAGACAGTTTAATAAGTCGCACCACAGGCAAAAGGGGGTCAAAAATTATGCCATAAAAATATCGCATAATGAAAGCGCATTGTTGACCCGCTACGAGATACTGCAAGGTTCTATAAACAATGCAAACGAGAGCGAAAGTTGCGAACGAAAATACAGCAGATGCGGATTTGGCGTGAGATGCGACTACTTGCAGATTAAACATGGCATTAGATCCGATAAAGCGCCACAAACAAGGTTAAGTGTGTT